TTTTATTTTAGTGACTAATTTGCTACAGACCTTTATCCATAGAAACTCCTCTACAGTAAAGAACTCCCACACAGCCTAGCTGATTAATATCTCGCGCTCGGTACGTCCTGTCAAGACCTCTCTTTGATCTCCTCTATGATAAGTGCCACGAGCTTGTTACAAGACGGAAAATAATAATTCTCTGAGCTTCTTCTCGAGCGGCGGCAGGCGTCGTCACCATAAGGGTGTGGCACCCACACGTCACCTGCCGGTGCGTTGCTTGTAAATAAATGCGTACAGTTGTGCACCCACGACCCTCGCGTCTTATTTCCCCATCCAAGAGACATCTCGCCACACCTGCTGCATCTCCGCTCCGCCGCCATTCTCTCTCTCAGAATGCACTTTTCTATTTACGGGTTGACAAGCAGCGAAGCAAAGTAGTATAAAAAGGGCAAATGGAGGCTTTGGATCAAAATAAAATGCGTCTCTTCGCACGTCGTCGGATAAAAGCTTTTAAAATTGATGCGTGCCGCTCTTAAAGGATCTTTTTAGCAGCCCCCTTGAATGTGTTTTCTTTTTATAAGTATGGGATTAAAATGTTTAGTGTTTTCTGTCCGTCTTAAATCTTGCACTAAAGACAAAGGATTTAAAAAAAAAATTCAAAGGTTGTTCGCTCTATAGTTTTGTCATATTCCTCAGTGGCCAATATAGCCGTGAAACTTAAATGTATTGTTTTGCTAAATATTTTTGCCTATTTTTAATTGTTTTGGACAAACATCGAGAATTAAAAAAAAAAAAATACATGATATTATGTTTCTTTGGAAAAATAAAATAAAATTTCCTCCACAAACAGACAAAAATTCTTTAATAAAGCAATAGTAATTGCCATAACAATAGTTAAAATACTATATTGCTTTTTAGTAAACAAATATTGATCCACCTCTTGACATTGTTGTTCGGGATCACCATTTGCAAAAGGATTATAGGATGGTCCTTTTCTAATCCCACTGAGATTTTCAGATTGACATTGCGCACATTGGGAATGCGTTAGGTTGGAAACTGTGGCGATTTTACTTTAATTATTTGTAATATTTTATACCAGAGCATTATACCTTCATTGTTAGAAATTAAGAAAAACAAGCTTGATCTTTAAAGATTTTTCTAAAAATTTCTTACTGACAGATCACTGAGCTTTGAGCCTATTAATAATAATTATCAGTATCTTTAAACATTCCATTTATAAATAAATACAAACTTGGTATTCGATTGCTAAAAATAAAGTGAGTTTTCATAAACAAATTTTAAATTTATAAATAATAAATTGTTGAATATATCGTTTAGTGAAACAAAATGTTTTAAATATTCCACTAAATAAAAATTTCATTTTGTTTTATAGGTTTTATACATTATTACGTATATAAAGTTTCTTTCTTAACGGAAAAAAGCAATGCCGTTTTTCATTTAGTTTTCATTTGAGCTCAATTAAGCAAGTTTTTACTACGCTGCGCTGACGGTACATTGCAAATTAAAGTGCATTAAATAGCGACAAGGCGCAAGTTGAACGTTCATTAATTTTCTCCTTTCTCTGCAAGAGAAAAAAAGGGACAATCAGCAGCAACTTTTTCCCTGCTCTGAACGTGCGAGCGTCAAAGCAAACGAGAAACCGTGCCTAGTTTACAGCAAGAAGCTGCTGTTGATTAAAAAATTAAAAGGAGACGAATCGAAATCCTTATATTGTTATTTCTCTCTTCCGCTGGAATAATTTCTCACTCCGTTTCCTCCTCGGCGCTGCTATTAATTTCTTAATTACGCTTTAATGAACTCGCGTCTTGTTGAGAGAAGAAGAAGCGGGAAAAAAGACCGAGTGCTCATTTGAACGAGGAAGATTCTTTGTATATTTTAATTTCGTGTGGCGCGCAGCGAACTGCGCGGAATTCGGTCCTCGCCTCGTGTAATAACGACGAGAGACCCTGTTCTGTGCACGGGGTCACCACGATTTGTCCCAAAAGCAGAGAATTAAATAATAGATACTAGAGGATAAAATTGAATATTTTTAGTTAATTTGTCATAGCAAGAATAATAATTATTCAAACATTTATTTATATCGCACATTTTTTCACACAAATTTCAAAAATTAAAATTTGCCTTACAAAGAAAAAGATTATTTAAATTAAATGGTTGTTTCTGAAATTTGTAGTGTTTTCAAAACCTCAATTTTATCTTCAAAAGGTTATATTTTTTTGCGCTTTGTATTTCCACAAAATTTCTATTCACATGCAGAAAATCAATTCAAAATCAAACCCAAGTCGTTCATTTCATTACCTCACATTTTTCTGTGGTTGAAAATATTTTCAATATTAAGGTTTTTTGCTTTTTCGGCCAAAATATGGGCACCCGCCTGTGCACGGTGGCCCAAGATTAAAAAGCGCTCGCGTGGAAAGACGCGGCGCATTCCCTTATTATCATTATCGTCGTCATCGTTTTCTCGCGACGTTGTTCGTTAGTCGGTGCACATTTGCATAGAGCAGCTCTCTTTTTTTGCTTTCGCGGCGCACGAAACTCAACTGGGCAGAAAATCAGAGAGACGCTTTTGTAGAAAGTCTTGCTCATAATTCCTTTTGATGCCACGGCGTGCAAAAATTGCTAATGTGTATCTCTGAACAAGGAAAGGAAAAGAACTTCCTTTTTCGTATAATCCAAAAGAGGCCTATATCATCATTATGTTTTCGCCTCCTTATTCGCGCATGAGCTGATTAAATTAAACGCCAGAAGATGGGGAGAGAGAAAAGGCGCACTGCTGTTTATATAAAATATAATTTTGCTATGGAAACGGCAGTAATTAGGACGGAAAATTTGTGCATAAACGTGAGAGAGCTCAAGAAGAAAGGCAAAGGACCACGCTACAAAATAATTTCGACGTTTTGTGCCCAGAAGTGTGTAAAAGCTTAAAATTTTGTTCGTGACTACACTGTTTTTAAGCAGCTAAAGAGAATTTTTGTTTAATTATATTTGAGATGCAAAGGAAAAACAATTTGGAAATTAACAGCTTAAAATTTGCACGTCTCTCGTTTGTGAAGGAGAAAAATTACAATGCAGCACAACTATTAGTTTCTTTTTTAAGTAAGAATTTTAAAATTTGAAATAATCAATATTCATGAAGCGTGATATTTCCATTATTCCTACAAATAACTGCTCCATCAAAAGATTCACGAATTGAACTCCAGGGTACAGAAATCCAAACTTTGCAAATTCACAAAAAGTAAAAAACGGTCATAACAACCTGATGGAATTAAGCAGGAAATTAATCCGTCGTGTGCGACTCTAGGCACCCCGAAGTGCACAACCGCGCATAAATAAGCCGAGAGAAGCAAATCCCGGCCGACAGCAAACACCCCCTTCAGATATTATGGCGGCGAGAAAAGGCTCCGTTATGGCCGGTGCTGTTTGTTGTTTGATCGCACAAGTGTGTGTGGGCACGGGCGTTAGTTATAAAAGGGAAACCCTGCAGCCGAACGAGAGTATCAGTTGTGCGGTTTCCTGATCTCGGGCGGCTCTTTGACGGCGCAGATTGCTATTTATTCCCAGAGACGAGTGAGAGCGGCCGATTGCAAAAAAAGGAAACAGACCAAGAGATGAAATTGGGTCCAGGCCTCTCTCTTATATTTTTTTTTCGCCAGGCGAAGATAAATCAAGCAGTTTTACTCTCTCACCCTTTTTTCTTCTTATTCTTTCTTTTGTACTTTTTCTTCTTCTTTTGTCAGGGACTGCGGAGAAAAATGCGTGCAAAAGTCTCGAGTTAAAAATTGTTGTCGTTCGTCTCTCTCTCTCGTTGTTGACTGCTGTTGATGGAGTGGCGAGCCCGGCGAGAGGACCCTCAGCAGTTTGTTCCGCCGCGTGCATTTTAATTCGAGGGTGCTCCAGTTTCAAGTTTCACTCGCAAAACAAAGGAGTGAGATGGAGACGCGGGGGATTTAGTACGCCCCGCTAGCGCTCCCTCGAGGAATGCGTGAGAGGAGCCACGCAAAAGGACAGTTTTCTTGAAAACTTTTTCTGATATGCAAAGTTTGACTTTTGAAATGGTCACTAAGATTGAAAAGAGAAAGATTTGAGAGGGATAAAAATTTAAATCAACTGCAGATGAATGTCCAATTTTCATGAAAAATTATTTTAATTTTTTTTAACATACGGTATAAACTTTAAAAAATAAAAACCAACAACTAAAGATTTTAATGAGCCGTTTGAAACTTCTTGCATATTTTTCTTTTCATTAGGGGAAAATATTTCTTCAAAATAATTTTTAATTAAATCTAGCTCATTGGAATAGGCTAGCACTGTCATGGCTACTGAATCAGTACTTATATAGCGGGTGCGAAAAACCACTAATTCAACCAAATAGAGCGGATGCACAAAGCCGGGTTTTAACTGGTGTGATGAGAGAAGTGGTAGTGCCTTTTTTTAAACAATTCAATATATTTCCTTCCGAACGATTTTTATTTATTTTTTACTTTTGAAAGTAATTTTAATTTTTTCAGCAGTTTCGTTTCAAAGAAGAATCATAAATAATTAAGAAATTACTAATAACAAAAGCAAGATATGAATCAACTGCTTAATAGATTTGACTCAAGTGGGGTGGATAAAGTAAAGACTAATTTTGGACTTATTTGACTAAAATCGGTTCTAGGAGTTTTTATGGTATTGAATTTTGGACTCCCAAGTCAATAAAAAGGTCACTTTAAATGATTATTAAAGGTCAAAGGGATCATACCAACGTTTAATCGGAAGCCATGAATCAAATTTTCCAACAATATTTCAGATTTTAACCTACTTCGTCTGGCAAAAAAATTAAGCATTTAACCAATTTATAATAAAGTATTTCTTTCATCATTATATAATATTTAAAAAAAAAATTAGCCTCATTGATTGAGTTTTTTTCTAATATATGATAAAATTTAAACAAAAGAAATCAAGATTAATCTGAATAAATTTTGGTTTTCAATCTGGGAGTCTGTTTTTGTACTCACGTTGGACGAAGTTGGCGAGGAGCAGCGCCGAAAAGATGAGCGACGTGGGCGAACACATGATTACACGCGATATCTTCCCCGGGGAAACTGCCGGGAATAAGAAAAGTGTCCCTTTTTTCTGCTTCTTTTATCTGCACGGTCTTTAGTGCCGCGACGGTTGCATCCGAGAATCCTCACTAGTGCAGCATCGCGCGAAAGTCGGGGAAGTATGCAGACCCGCCGGTGGCGGAGGCGTGCGATCAACTGGCGCTCTTCGGGGGGTGCCGCGTTCGGGGGTGCGTCTGCACATGCTCGCGCCTTATTGATCCCAGCGCTCCGTTTAACTTAGTGGTCAAAATATTAAACTGCACGCCCAATTTGCATTTTGAGTGGCTCATATCGTGCCTAGAGATGAATATTCCGCAGCCCCTATTTATCCGGACGCCTTCTCGGGGGTGAAAATTCCCTTTAATGGCCGTCGAGCTGGAGGTGCGTGCAGCCGTAATAAATGGGGAGCATGTGCCGCTATTACGGGCTCCGCTGTTTCTCTCCTTATATTCTCGCTCGTCGTCCGACGATCTTGTTCTAATATCGGCCCGACGCGATGTCCCCAACTTTGCACTGTTTTTTATTCTCCCCGTCTCTCCTCCGCCATTGTCGGGTGGAAAACGAACCTTTCTCTCTCTTCTTGCTCTGCAGTCTCCGTTGCCAAAGTGCGAAAGAAGTTAACTGGAATGGACTATTTTGCTTTTTCAATAAAAAGTTCCGGTCGCGAGCGAACGGAAAAAAGGAACAAATAAACGATGTGAACTTTTAGGAAAGAAAGTTTCCAACTTGCGTTGTCCATTATCGAGACTTTCCCGCTCTGTCCACTAGGTAGGGTCATTGACGTTTATTTTATTCATGTGCGGAATATTCGGTAAGGGAGTTTCGATGTTGGAAATATACAGAAACAGCAAATTTAAATTTCATCAACTAACTTCATTTTATTTTTCAAAATTAGCTTTATTACAGTTAAATTTTCATCTTTGCATTCTTCCATTGAAAAATGTTGTTCAAAGCACATTCAATTGAGGATTAAATTTAATAAGAAAATTTATTGAAAACAAAATATTGTCATGTTACAAAATATTCCATCGTGTATTTCTTTGTTAAAATTAAAACTAACTTTTTTTTACTGTTGGTGTAAAATTCAAAAGTTCTGTTTGAAAAGTTTGAAATAACAGCCTTCTATGTAATTATAAGTTAGTAATTTAAGTAATAGTAATTAAAGTTATACTATTTTACTTGCTTTCTCTTTTTTGTATTATTATAAAAATTTTAAAATTAATTTAATGCATTATGAATATTTACATTTATTTTAAAATTTTGAATTCTTGATGTAACATTTTTGTGTGAAAAATATATAAACCAATTCATTTTTAGAAGATGACATAAATTTTTATGTTTAAATTATTAAAAAAATAATATTGCCTTCATGCACGTTTGTAAAGATAACAATTATATTAGTCTACAAAAAATTTTTTGGCGTATTTTCCAGGTTCATGTTTCAATTTATCTAGCTAAATTTAAAAAAAAAATAATTATGAGATTGAGAATAATACAATGCCGATCTCATTAATAAATTGCACTCTGGGTATTGGGGGAGAAAGGCCTTTGGACCGATCAATGCTAATCCTCTCTCTTCTTTCGCGATCATTCACTCTCATTTGCGCATTTTAGCTTTCAACGTAGTCCTCGTCGACGTCCTAATCTCGTAGAGCATTAGCGGTGCAGCCAAATCCGCGGACAAAGTGCAAGTCAGGCCGAACGTGCAGGGTCGCTCCCTTTACTTTTCGTCCGAGATGCAAGTCACACAATTGTCTCCAATTCTGCAGCCCTGATAAACTCTGCAGACCAGACACGTCGTCGTCGTCTTGCGGCAGATTAAATAGATAAGGCACATGCAGGCGGGCGGAAAAAAAAATAAAAGCGAAGACACCGCGAGACGAAAGAAGAAAGTGAGCAATAAAACAGAGACAATAAAAATAGCTGCAGTCACATCCCTCACACCCTAATTTTGGCTCCGCTCCTTTTTTACTTTATTTTCTTACGGCTTTTTCGATTGTCGAATTAAAAAAAAAGGAGTCGGAGGCAGGAATTCGGCGGTCGGGAATTTGGGCTCTCATTCATTAAAGGCGCCTCTCTGATATTTATTTTACTCGCGGGTAAAAAGCGACATTCTCGGCGGCAATTCCGTTCCTTCCGTCAATAGCTTCTCTGTGGACAAATATACACATTCGTGCTGAATTTTCCGTCCGTTATTTTATACCTGCGCCGTCGACGAGCAGGTAAGCGAGGGAGATCTCACTCGCTGCTGGGAAAACAAACAGAGCTGCTGGACCGGCCGACGGCGGCGAGCTCCGAATTCTCCGGCTATAAATTTAGATTGGTGCCGGCCAAAACGCTCCGGGCTTTGGTCGCTGCAACCCGAGTGAAGCTACGTGGAATGAGTTAATCTTGTGTGCAGGTCTCCAATTTTACACACGAAATCTAGACATAAGATTTTTTATACTTTTTAAAATTAATATAAATTTTACAATTTATTTTATTCACAATAATTATATTTTTTTTACAAATATAATTATTATTTTTCAATATTTACAACAAATTTTATTTTTAAATATTTTTATTAAAATGTAATTTTAAAGAACGAAAAAACTGAAATTTGCTGAACATTTTGACCAATTTATAATCTTTTTGAACAAAAATTAAGCTTAAATTTCTTTTTATGTATACTGCTGTGTAGAGAAACTATAATGGTATTTAAGAGTTAATATTTAGTGTATGGGTAACGCAATTGTGCTTGTGGTTGATACACTAAACTTCATTATTTCCAATAAACTCCGAATAATAATAATATATTGAGTAAGGCCAAAGGTCATATAAGTTAAAGACAAAATTTGTTCAGTCACCAATGATTAAAAACTTTGAAAGCACAAATTAATTGTTTTATAGAGACATGTTTAATTAACAAACAAAAAAATCACTTCATTCACTATAAAATGTAAAAAATAAGGAACAAAATTTCTGTTCAACAGAAATTGTTATTGCTTATTTTTTTCTGTTCATCTGATTCAGTGTTTTTTCCTTATTTTTAAGTGTCTGCGTTTGTGTGCGAATTTTGACGAAATTACAAGTTTTCATGCAAAAGCAAACTTGATTTTGAAGGATGAGCAAAAAAGGTGGCGAAACCTTGTTTTTGTCACGTCCATATTATGCTGTTGTTTTACAACTTGTTGCGAGAACAAAGAGCAATATAAAGTGTTTTGTATTGTTGTCGATTGATTGAAAAACGGCAACGTGTGGTTCATTTCCCTGCAAAAAATATTGAACAACGTCGAGATCGGAGAATTCGTTCAGCTCCATTGAATTCAAATTGACTACTCTGCTCGTGAATTAACAAGTAAATAGTGAAATTTATGGATAAAAAAAAATTTGCATCATTATTTTAAATTGGAATTGTCTCACAAAGGAATTGAAGTATGCAAAAACCAAAAGTAATAAGGAGGGTAAAAAATAAATGTGATTTTTTTTAAATTATCCGAAAAAAAAAGCGAATTTTCAGAATTTAAAATAGAAAAAGTCCAAACAAAGTCGTTTACTTAAAATCTTTTTTAAAGTTACTTTTCTAAAAATAAATTTCTATCAACAGTCTCTTTAAAAAATCCACGTTTCTCCTTTTTATGCCGAAATCTGGTTTTATTTTGCGGATTGGTTCACAAATTTAATAATTCACATCCAGCCCAGCAGCATCTCTGCAGATTTTGTGTGTTTTGGCAAGAAAGGGTCCAAAACAAACTTTCGCCGGTGCTCAAAGAAACGCTTTGTTTGTTTTTCGGTTGCTTTCCTATGCCACACAAAATGTGAGCGGCATAAACTCGTTGGCGGAATCTGTGAGTCACACTCACTTAGCTGCTGTTCTAAACAAACAAAACACACGAGGCAGCAGCCAGTGTGGTCCGTTCGCCACTTAATCATCTCTCTCTGAATTTTATCTTTTATTAGCACCAAGCAAGAGGGGCCCACCATTTTTTTTTTTCAGAATTTTGGCAGGCGACGCTGCTTACAATTTCCTGGGCGCATTAATCGTGGCCCGTTTGCCACTTTTTCACGCCCCACTAGATCAATTAACTTAATCATTTGCCACCGGCTTAACCAGCACCGCCGCACGCTCGAAGCTTATTATAGAGACGAGGAAAAGAGAGCGGCAGCTGGAAACTATCTGCGCTGACAAAGTTTGTTTCTCACTTGCTCGCACCCCCGAAAAGCTTGAAAAAATGTCTTGGAAGAAATTGTGCGCGCAGGAGAGACATTTCTACTCTATCTGCTTTTAATTTTCGTTTGGTGAAAGTCATAATTTTATTAATGAGGAGATTCATAATGGATCATAGATTTCGTGTCTAAAAATTCAATTAGAAAAGGAACAAAGAATATCTTGATGAAAAATATATAAAGGAAGACATGGAAAGCCAATAAATTTAAAAAAAAAATAATAAAAATAAATACAATATTTTACTTGCAACTTGTGCTTTAATTCTAACAAGAGTTAACAAATAAATGCATGTTTTAATATTATAATGTATTATTATATCAATAAATAAATGGCAATAAATTAAAAACAGATTAAAAGTAAAAACATATTTTGTTTAAAAAATTTATTATATTTGACAAATTGTAAGTTAAAACTAATAACTTCTTAACATTAATTATGTATAGAGCTTTTGAATCTGAAATTGCTGAAAACCTGATTTTTTCTACAGGAAACCACATCTTGGAAAAATATTCCATTTTCTCTTAAATTTGAAAAAAAAAATCAAATTTATGGTATTATCATTTTTTATTTGATGGTTTTTCTATTTGATTTTTGCTAGCATTTTTTTTTAATAACAATTGGAAAAAAATATTTGAGTGACAACATTTTTTATGAGTTTGAAGTTTTTTTTGTTAATTTTTTCACGTTTGCTCTAAATAACTATAATTTATTATTATTTATGCATGAGGAGCTTAGTTTAAAATGTCGTGCAAACGCCTCTCGTCTCTCATAAATAACAGAAGTGGCGCTAATGAAGTTCAGTGTACATATTTGTTCACTGAGCGCGTGCAGCACCCGCGCGCGCGTTCTTCATTTCCAACCCCCGCGAAAAACGCGAACGGCGTCGAGTCCCATCAAACCACTCGCATCTCGATTGCATTAAACCGCCTGCAATGATATCGACCCCTGGTTGCAATAAGAGACGGACGCGCCACGTGCCCCCGAAATGTTTGCAAACGGGAACGCGTGGGGATTAGGAGAGCGAAAGAGGGCCCGGATTTGGACCATTTCGCATACAGAGCACTGATTTATGCGCGTGTGGCCACAAATCACGCGAGGATTTCTGCGCTATGTTTGTCGCTGAGAGGACACACTTCGCAGTGGCCGCTGGCGAAACACCGACAATTTTTCATATTAACAAGGTGACAAGGAGAACCTCTTCTGTCGAACCCTTGAAATCTTGCAACAGATTTATGGCCGCTGTATTTCTAACGCAATAAGTGCAAATAATAAAAATAAATACTGAGAGGGTTCATTTTCTACCAATTTTTAATTATAAACCGTTTAAAATAATTGTAAAATTTGAAATACAGCAAGTTGTAAAATTATTTGCAGTTAACTGATTGTTAACATTAAAATTTGGTTTATTTTTTTCTAATTAGAACAGAAACACACACACCGACACTAAAAACTATTTGGATAATGTATAATTATTTTTTGTAAAAGAGAAATTAAGTCTAGGCAACTTGACTCTAATGACAGTCATCGACACATTATATTAATTTTATAATTTCATATTTAATATTTTTTTAAACCTTCAGTAAATCTGATTTTGAGTTTTTTTTAATTATAGCAGCGTAATACAAAGGTTACGTACTTAAAAACAATAATTTTATCCAGTTTTCACCTTCTTTCAATTTATACATGTGTGAAAATGGAATTCAATTTTTAATAATTATCGTTTATTCTATAACAAGTACGGATAAGATATTATACAATAAAATAAGGTGTGGGAGGGGGGATTTTTTATGCTTCTCTTTTTTTTCCAACTTCTTTCCGGGTTTCTGATCACATTAGTAATGACTAATTAACAAAAGTTAGTATTAATTAAAAATTAACACTCCAGGTGGATTAATTATAAATAATGTTAGTCTGGCTTAACCATGTTGGAAAAATGAGGAAATATTGAAATGACAACATGTGATTCTTAAAGGCGTCCTATGGTCTGCTTCTTTTATAAATCCTAAGATTTCTTGTTGCGATTAAAATGTCTGTGAAACGTTTATAATCAAAATGAGCCATGTCAATATCGATAACTACAAATTTAGCCTTTTTGGTGTTCACAAGTGTCCTCTGTGATGAATTTTCCCCACAATTTTGTTGGGTTTTATTATCTTTTTTCTTAATTATCATATAATGAAGAAATTTTTTAATATAAATCAAACAGCTACTACCAATCCAAGATGTGGAATTCAGTTTTTTTCTATTTCTATACTAAACAACTATGATTGAGAGAAATAAAATAAAATATCAAACTTGAAACATATCTAAAGATATTGAATAATTGTTATCCGGGTTATCCCTATTCTGAAACATAATAGACGTTAAAAGTAATTTAAAATTTAATTATAAATAATAGAAATATTATATAAATTTACATAATATAAATTTAAACTAATAATTTTTAAGCCGACTATTTAATAATAAATTTGTTTAAAAATTGCAAACTTAAATTCTCAATAACATTTATTTGTTTATTCTGCATTATTTGGACAACCGACAACCTACGTCTCGCACACACAAAAAAAGCTAAAATATAATCTTAACATTTAGGTACAAAATGATATACATTTATATTATAAATTATAATGCATGATTGTGAGTAAAGATCAAATTCGAAAGTTCACTGGAATAGAAAGCATAAAAACTCGTCGATATCAAACGGGATGCAATGGGAGAGGAGACAGGGGGAGCGTCTGCCTGGCGTATGTGTTTATGCGCACTGCGAGCGTCAAGAAGCGGCGGCGGCGGCAGCGGCAGCGACCCTCGGCCAGTCAGTCAGTCTCTCTCGAACCGCCGGGGTGCCGAGAGCTTCTCCTTTTCCGTGCCGAACAGTCACGATCTTTCTCTCTCCCTTCGCGTGTCGAATGGCTTAAGACAGACAATACTGCTGCGAAAAAAAAATGATCGGAAAGAAGGAGTCGCGCAGGTGTGTGTGACTCGAAAGAACAAGTGTTGCGTGCGTCAAAGAACTCCTCGGACGTGATCATGTCTCGCTGGATCGCCTGTTTAATCATTCTTCTCGCGGCCTTCGTTCAAAGTGAGTATTTCTTCCTGCATGGTAATCGTTACTAAGTGTTTTCGCGTGACAGAAAGAAAAGCAAGCGCCGCCGCCGCCACTTTCTGACACTCGCCCCGGTGATTTTTCTTGCACCCTTCGCCGGCGCACGCTTTCCGGCTCCAAACTCCTCTTGCGGAGGCGCGGGGGACGCGCTTTCACGCCGCCTGAGCGTGTTTTGTCTTACTTAATGTTCGTTTTCCGTGTTTCTTTTTTTTATTCAAGCTATTATCTTCTCAACTTGTACTTGATTCCTCAACACTACAAGTTTATGTAACTTCAAATTGTCTCTCTGAAAGTAGGAAAATTTTGACTTGCAGAGGCTCTTTTAGGGTGAATATAAATTATTAATTTAAATTTTAGTTTCGAATCAATGCAATCACTGCACCAATTCCTAATTTAGATATTAAAAAATCTATAATTCACAAAATATAATTCGATCTTTAAACAAACTAACAGCAAATAACTATAGTATATGTATTATTTTATAATTGTATGTATACGTTTTTATTACTTTGATATTTTTTGGGACATTTCTGTAGAAAAAAAGAGCAATCAAAATTTAAATTTAAATTTATTGACAAATTTGTACTATCATAGAATACCACAGAACTTCAAAAAATTTTGCTAAATTTTTGCAGATATAAGTATCGACATTTAAAACTTACGCCATGTTCGACTTTTACACTGGCGATGAGATAAAAAGGCAAAATTGAATTTTGAATTGTACACTCCCTTTTAACATACCTGGAGAAATTTTGTTGGTTTGTAATGGAAATTTGCAAAGAAGTAAATTTTTATGATACTGTTCCAACCAACTTTCATTAAATTCGTGGTGTTTAATCTCAGACACATACTATTATAGTGTTTAGTCAATATAATTTCTCATTTATTCGAAATTCAATCAATTCCATTTACAATTAAGATGAATGAATATAAGTGGGTAAGTAAGTATTCAAAATTCAAATGTATTTGCGCATCGCTGAGGATTATTGAGTATTGAACATTCTGCAAATTTAAAATATTAACAACTAAAAATATTAATAATATATTCTAAAATATGAAGTTTTTAAATATATTTTATTAATATTCTTAATAATAAATTAAATTATATTGAATTTAAAAAAAAATATTTTAAAATTAAATTATAACTTAAATACCTTTTTATCATTTATGTAATAATCTTTGTTTAAACTGTTTGAAATTTTATTTTTGTTTTAAATTTTCTCTAAGCAATGCGTCGCAACACCAGCAAAACAATTTTTTTTTTATTTATTAGTTTTTGATGAAAGATTTAACGGATCAAACAAAAAGCAGAATTTAGACATAAATCTTAAAACTCTACACGCTTACAAAATGCACGAATTTCACTTCAAGCTCGCACTCAATTAAAACTGTTAGATTTAGTTGATAGGTTGGGCTGGAGAATAATTCTCAAATTGCAAAAGCTGATTAAAATCAGTGTTCCGGCCGTGAGTCAAGGCTGTTGTTTTTGGTGTACGGCGTGTGCGACACCACGTTGAAATATGAAACCCTTGGCGTGTAAACGCGCCTGCCGCCGCCGCCGAGCGCACCTCCCAAATAATAATAACACCCGCTCGCGCACAATGTGTGTATGTAGCATACTTAAGGGTGTCTGGTGCTGCTGGTGGGCGAGAGAGCTCCCTGTGTGTGTTTTATGTATATGTAAAGTAGACTGTGCCGCAGCACAAATCTCCGGCACTTGCAATGCTGCCTAGTATATGTATGTGTATGTTTAATGCGCGCGCGTTGGCCGGATAATATTTATTGTCTTGAGAGCCGCAGAAGAAGAGCAAGAGTGGAAGAGCGCGCCGGCTGCACAATGGCTTAATCCAATATTCGCGCAAGAGAGAGAGCGAGAAGCCGGCTTTAAAACCAAAATGAAATTACAAAGCAGCGAAACCCGACGTTAGCCAGATGCTTTTTCACGGAAAAGAACAAGAAGCCTTTTTCTGCCCCGGCGGAATTTATGCTCGTTTTAATTGGTCGCTGCCCGCAAAAGTTAAAATTAACTTCGGGCTAATTTAGTGTTTTTCCAACACAAGATATTTTTCTTTAATTTTGTGGTTTGTAACTTTCTACGGATGAATGCAATTCATAAATCATTTAATAATTTCCAAATTAGTTTTGAAAAATTGATCAAAAAATATAAATATTTGTGACGAAAGAAAATATTTATAACCTCTGCCAATATCCACTGTCCTTAATTAGATTCAAATTTAAGAATCTAAATAATTTCAAGCAAAAAATTTTCTGGTGCAGTCATACTAAAGCAGGGTTTTTAATATGAATAAAGTCTTATATAATTTTACTTGTGAAAAGAAATTGAGAGAATTGCGGAGCTGGATATTTACCACTGATTTAGATTTTTTGAAGTAACCTACCGACTTTCTTTGTTTTGTAAAACTTTACAAAAATATGATAATAAAAACTTTTACTTATTGAGAGTAGCAGCCAGTTTAATTTCTCAAATTGGCTTTATTTATCTAACAAGGAATAACAAGCCTCAACTTTCTTTGTAATATAAAACTTGAATAAGACTTGAAAGTTGGCTATCAAATTACAGAGCAGGAGAGTCAAATATCCAAATTTCGAGGAGAGAAATAGTCATTTTTTACCCGAAAACTTTGACTTTGAACAACATAAGCAATTTTGTTCAAAACTTTGGCTCAGCAGGTGCCATCCTTTCTGCACCAGGGAATCTTCCCACTACTATAAATTGATTTATTCATCAATTAAAAACAAAATTTGTAATAGTATAGCATCTCAGCTCCATGTCTTCAACTTCACTTAAACTTCATTAAGTGGATAGCATCAAGTAACACACGGGAAGTTTATAAAGAAATATGAGAACATAAATAAAAAAATCTTAAAGCTGTATAAATATTTGAGAAAAATAATTGAAAAATTGTATTTTTTAAATAATATTTGGCTTTTCAATTTATCATTGCAATCTTTAATTTCCCATTTTTTTAAATGAAAAAAAATATAGTTCTTTTGAAGTTTTATTCAACCACAAATTCCACATTACCTTCAAAATAAATGATTTAATTTCCTATAAATTCATTCTTCCTTTTAATTTATAGAAGTCTTATTAGCCGAGAATTGTAAAGATAAAAAAAATAATATGTTTTTAATGAGCTATAGTAATTAAAAAATTTTTTAATTCATTCAAATTACCTTTGGAGGTAGGGACCATTAAAATGTATTTTGACTGCAGTCTTTAAAAATAAAATAAAATAAGGCCTTGCAAATTAGGCATTTTTTGCTGCTAATGTCTCGTTTACACCATTGGCCCTAATGATGTTTGGGTCTAATTGAACAAAGCTGCAGCTATAATTGACTAACAAGGTTGCGAAAACGTCGGCCGTAGATGGAGGTAGACGCGCGCGCGGCGGTAAATGAGACGAGAATGCGTTGCTCTCTCCACTTGAACGGGCGTAATTTCATTAACTTTGTTGCGCCACTGCGTCTATAGGCGGGTAGAATTTTTCATTACCGCGCCGCTAATTAAATTTTAAAGCGTTCCCTCCTCGGCAAGGAACAAAACAGGCCAGCGAGAGAGCGTCATAAACGAAAGAGGGCACCAAGGAAACGACAAAGAAGAAGTATAAGTGGCTCTTGAATCCAATTCCGTTCGCTGCTGATAAGTGCCCGAGCTGCATTTTAGAGCTGAGGATTTTAATTACATGCGCGCGTCAAACGGACTCTTTGTGCTGCAGTGTCGCTCGATGTAATTGCGCCCGAATTGAGTTTGGAAATCATAAACGCGAGCGTTATTGCCTCAAATGGAGCGGCGCTTAATTAAAATTTACGGCCGGCCGGCGTGCGCGCTCCACAGTCGTAACCTTATCTCGGGGATAAAAGAAAAATTAAACGGTTTGTTTGTCGTTTCCAAAGGTTTTATTGGTCGTTTTATATTTTGATTAGGCCAATCACCCTTTTGTAATTTGTTGAGAGTTTCCACTCTTCATAATTAAGGGATAAGGGGACTTAAAAGTGCTCTGAAGGATTGATTTCTTAATACGGCATACGGGCTTATTGTTTAAAATTTTAATTTTTTTCTTCTCATCAATTTCTCCCGTTTAAACTGTTTTAGCTCCTATTTTTTTTAAGGAAACCTTCTTGGCGTAGTCAAAAGTCTTTACAACAATTGTGATTAAAATTTCCAATTTGTTTTCCTAAAATCAAAAAATCTTTTTCCATTGTTGTGAGGACTTGATTTGACTATAACAATAAGAAGTCTTTAAATAATTATTTTCTCCTTTTTTGAGGAGATCGAAATAATTCATCGTGATATCAATATCCAATTATATTGATATCACAATGAATTTAAAAGAGAAAGTTTTGATCAGCGAACTTAATATTATTATTATTTTTATTAATTAAAATGAAAATATTCAAAATAAAAAATATTTCTGATGAAGGGTGCCTGGAGAGAATTGTGCTGACCACAGAGCTAATGCAATAATTGGTTGAAGTAGGTCATCTTATATTGATTTAAAAATAAAACAATTATACCCCAGCAAATTAAAATGCAGAACATAATTTTTTTTTAAATAACGTAATAAAATAAAATATTCCATTAAAATAAAATCATTTTCAAATAAAAATAAATCAGTTAAAAAGTTTTTTAAAGGCATAAATTTTACAAACATTTTGAAGAAGCTAAATAATATTTTTGTTCTCACAATTAGATAATTGTTAGTGTGCGTGTGTTTTTTCTGTTCTAATTAAAGTAGAGAAGTGACTTGTTTTGTTTTTGTTGTTAAGTGTAAAGCAGTTTCAGGGGTTAATTTTTATGAGGTTTTTACATAGATTTACTGAAGTGCGAGACACTCTTGGCTTTAAAGAATGGAATACAAACCAAAATTTTGACTTTTAATTGCGAAATTAATCTTTAAAATGGCTCAAATGGTCACAAAAAAACGAAAATTCAATTAAAACTCAGAAAACCCCTC